TCGAGCCATTCGTGCTACAACCATAATATAGCTGCAGTATGACTCGTATAAAGGTGTTACGATTACTCCTTTTCAGACCTAGTCCGTTTGAGTAGATACCACCCCCTCTTACTAAAGTTGCTTCATTCTTTCTGCTTCCCAATAGCAGTGCTGGTATGTATGTTCAGATTTTAAGTGTATAGCCAGCATAGTTGCAGGCTGTTAGGTATTCCATCTTGAAACGACGGCTCGCTTCAGTGTTGATTAATGCCCGGGGGTTTGAATCCCGCACGGAACAAGTGTTTGTAAGTCTTACAAACATTTTTTCCAGTCTGGATGTTTGTCCTTGTGCAATTTATATACGTAAATTGCCTTTAAGATACAGACGTAAGTTATTTAACGTAAGTTTATTTAGTACTTAAGATAAAATAATAAAAAATCTTAGTACTCAGAGGTGACAACGTATCTGTAACGTTGTGTGTGTCTGTGTGTGACTGTGCGTGTATGTTTACTAGTGCGTGTGCGTTTACTTGTGCGTGTGTGTGCGCGTGTACGTGTGCGTGTGCGCGTGATTATGCGTGGGCGTGTACGTGTGCGTGTGCATGGGCGTGTGCATGGGCGTGCGCGTGTGCGTGTGTATGTGTGTGCGTGTGCGTGTTCGTGTGCGATTGCGTGTGCGTGTGCATATGCAAGTGGCGTGTGCGTGTGCGTGTGCGCATGTGTGTGCTCATGAGTGTGTGTGTGTGTGTGTGTGTGTGTGTGTGTGTGTGTGTGTGTGTGTGTGTTTATGTGTAAGTGTGTGTGTCGTTTGTCACTTCTGTTTTTAAAAGAAATATCTATCTTAAAATACTCGTATGAGGAGTCCACCAACATCGTACGTCCACCATGCATAGAATACCTACGTAAAATTACAGCATATAACTTTTTACCGGTAACGAGGCATTTAACCTCATTCCTCAGGGACGACAACGCATCATCTTCATTTTGATTCTTAATCAAAAAGTTTATGGCTCACATGCACTTTCAGTTGGGTTTAATGTTCACAATTGCTTCTAAACAAACGAATTCTGACTTTTTTAATTTTGGTATCTCTCATGTTTAAGAGATCCTGTGACTCAAGCAGCACCGATAGGTACAAGCCTAACCAGGAAACCAAGATGGCGGTGCAGGAGCTTCAACAACAATTATATAAAGATCAATACCAAGAGACCCAGCGCACAGTAAGCACAATTTATGTATGTATTTTAAAAATCTGTAGAAAGAAAAATTTGAATGGAAATAAAGTTACATCATAAGGTTTCGAACATTTTTTGAAAGAGAAGTGGATTTTCCAGGGTTAACTTTTTGGGTTGGATGGATGGTAGATATGATAGGGATATAGAACGACGAGTAAATGCAGGGAATAGAGTGAATGGGGCACTACACTCTATTATGAAGAACCAAAATGTATCAAAAAAGGCACGTATGGTAATTCATAATGCTGTGTTAGTCCCTACTTTAATGTATGGTAGTGAAAGCTGGGTGTGGCAGAAGAAGCACGAAAGTAGAATAAATGCTGTAGAAATGCGGTCTTTAAGGAGTATGCTAGGGTTGAATCTGAATGACAGGGTGAGAAATTACGTGATAAGAGATAAATGTGGTATGCAAGATGATGTTGTGACCAGGATTAAGAAAGGAATGCTTCGGTGGTTGGGTCATGTAGAAAGAATGAATGAGGAAAGAGTGACAAAGCAAATTTATATGGCAGATGTGAACGGCCGAGTCGGGAAGGGACGCCCTAGAAAAAAGTTTATCGACCAAATTGGCAATATTTTGAAAAGGGGCCACGTTAGAAGTACCCTTAACCGACGAGCATGTATGCGTAGATATATGGATGTAAAGGAGGCGAAAGAGGTATGTCAGGATCGTGCCAAATGGAAGTCCGTAGTCTCTGCCTACCCCTCTGGGTGACAGGCGTGAAAGTTTATGTTTATGTTTATGTAACTTTTTGGGTTGGACTTTTGATAGGCTGAGTTATTTAGTAAATTCTACACTCTCTACAATTGTTTTGTGTGTGAAATTTTAGTTCTATGCATTTATGCCCTTAGATAGTAGGACTCCTTTTGGCCTAGAAATGCTTTTAGTTAGATACCACCTTCTTTGCACTGCTATTTGGTGGCAGAACAGAAGTGAAATACGTACTTACCGTCCACCTGATGGTAAATGGCTACTGCAGTCCATGGAGAGTTGCAACAAAAAAAGCTACAGATACATTGTCACCTCTGAGAACTAATGTGAAATGCCTCGCAGCCTGTTATTATCGTGATCCTTTTAGAGCGAGTACACATTAGGCGTTTTGAAACGCGCGCTTTTGTATCGCGCGTTTCAAAAACCATCTAGTCCGATACATCCATACACATACCAACGCGCGTATCAATTCAATCGCGCGTCAGACGAGCGTTGTCAGTTTTTTGTCAAAACGCTCGTTGCGCGAGCGTTAGTCGCGCGCTTTTAGTTTTTGGGCTACCATTTTCTTGTACAATTCATTGCGCGCTTTCTTGTAGAGTGAATGCATGTTGACAAAGAGATCGCGCAGATACGAGATGAAATCTAAAAGCAACCAGCTATTAGACTCGCTTTGCTACTCGCCCTGCTAACGTTCATCGAACGCGTGGAACGCCATGCAAAGCGCGGTGTATGTACGCTATGAACACGTGTCTATCGCAACACTCAGCGCCCAATGTGTACCAGCCCTTATCTTTAAATCCAAAACGCAGCAAAGAATGCACTGGTTAGTGCTAGAAATATTCAGAAAAGAACCTCACCTTAGTCAGCGTTTGTAGCAAATAAATATAATCTGCCTACCGCTTATGGTTAGACAGTGTTCATTTCTGAAAAATTGATTAGTGATTGGATAAACATTTAGTCAGTACATTTAAAAATTAAATAAAGTCGTGAGCTCTACGAGATGTACTTAGTCCTACTCGTAGAAACAGGCGATGATAGACAAGGTTTTTACATGACGCAAATTATTTTATCATGTTGGCGATACACGTTTTTTTTTAAATATTGACAAGAAAAGAATAAATTTTGACACATTAGCGGCCACACTATTTGTCGCCGGTCTGAATATTTGGCGTCTGTCGTAAATGATCTACCGCCAAGTATGGACGCCAAAATGTGATGATGGATAGATATCCTTACGTCTTCATCACCCGATAAATGTAATAACTAATTTATTCGTATTATTTTCAGCCTTATCACAGCGAAAAAAAAGATAGCTGGTGGTTTTGGGTGAGTTCTAATCTATTTTTTAACTTTTTTTTTGCTCTTGTTATAGGCAGGTTATTTATTCCTAATATTATTCCTAACTTATTAAATAATCAATACTATAAATATTTAAAACGTCTATCTAGCAATGAATTAAAATAAAATAAAGGTGAACAAAGCCTTACCTAAAAAACCTAAAGGCACCTAAAAATATTGAACCTGCGCAGTATAGTCTTAATAAGTAGTAAAATCTCTGTATATTTTGACGTAAGAAATTGAATTATTGAAAAATTCTCTTTGTTTTTCAATTCTGCCACAATATAAAAAAATGAATCAATAAATGTTAAAACGAAGTCGAAATAAGTTTCTGGAATACTTTGTATATCTATAGTGGTATAGTATTTTTATTACAAAATCTGTTTTTACTTGTTAGCTAGCTTTCGTTATTTTTGTTGATCGATCGTACAAACAGAATTATTTTGACAGACGGATGGTCAATATTTTCTTAATAGATTTAGTTAATAGAGTTAGATATACAATAAAAAAATATGTATTGCACAATGTAATTTATTGCAATTATTTTATTCGCAGAAAGAGCCGATTAAGAAGAAGAAATCGGACGATACTTATTCATGTGTATCATGCGTGTAAGCTATTTATTCTTTAGCATTTATATTTGAATCATTGTCTCATAAAGTGTCCAGGTTTGGTCATAAATCTCTATGTATATTTGAATCATCATTATGCCCTAAGTAGAGTCTCATAAACACATTCCAGGTTTGTAAAATCTCTATGTATATTTGAATCATCATTATGCCCTAAGGTGTCCAGATTTGGTCTTAAATCTCTATGTAATTTGAATTATCACTATCCCATAAGGTGTCCAGGTTTGGTCATAAATCTCTATGTATATTTGAATCATTATCCCATAGTGTCCATTTTTGAACATTAATCCCTCCAAAGTCGAGATTTAACACAATCGTTGCATTGTCGGGTGGACTGGCAATGCTTAATTGTTTAATATTGCTTGTCTCTTTCCAGTCACTGGTACTGTGAAATTTAAATTGTCCATTCTACCCTCATGATTATTCCTTGAGGGCTATGTTCAGCCTTGATTGAATTTCACAACATTCAAGGAACAAAATGGAATGATAACTTTTTTTACTCTCCATTCCATCATCAAATGACTTTTTGAATGTTTCTATGAATAAGCAAAAAGTATTAAAAATTAAAAAATATATATAAATTGGATAGTTCACTGACTACTAGTGAAGAATGCCATATTATTGTAGTCTTATCAATTTTATCCAGAGTATCAATTTTAAAGTCGATCATGTAGTATATATAATAATATATAAAAGTAATGTTCATTGAATTATATACTGAGGTTGCCATAATAAATCAGTTGCAGCTGAAATTTGATATTTGCTGTTCATACTTTACCTTTTTGTTCAAATATTTTCTACAAGACGTCTTTTGTGTTTTAAATTATTGAAACAAATTCTAGTTAATAATTCTTATGTATATAATGTCCATGTATGTTTTGTAAGCTGACATAAGCTTGGGACAGGCCTTTGTCCAGCAGTAGACTTGTGAAGGGCTGTAATGATGATGATGATGATGATCTGTATATTTAAAGAAACCATTTCGAGCTATGAAATAATATTACTACTATTTTTAAACAAAAAATAAAGCAATAGATGGTTTTCAGGTTGAAAAAACTAATCAGCTCAGAATACGTGTGTATTGCGTGCCTTGTGCTGGTGTTCACGATGTCCATAGTGGCGGCATTCTTCGTGGTGTTCAGAAATGCAACAACACCAGGTTGTATTGCGGAGGAGACACAAAGCCAGCGTAGCGGAGCTGCAAAGAAGGATGAGACGATGAAAGCGAGGAGGCAGTTTCGAAGCGAAGGCGCTAATTTTAACGGGCTGAGTTATACAGAACGGTAATTATTCTAAAAAAATATATTCTAAAAAACTTTACTATCACAGAAAAATTTTCTCCTGTACCATGTAGACAGTTTACTTACATAAATTTCACATGGAAAAACATCTAGACACAGAACAATTATTTTTTGCATAAACACTTGTTTTGTGAAATTACCTCATTTTTTGGCTATTTTCGTTCTGTTCGCCATAAGGTGCAGATTGTAGAATTAAAATTAGATGTACACAATCACTGGGAACTGATTGTGTGTTGTTATGAGAGAAATCTACCAAATATACAATTTAAATAATTTTGTCGCATACGTCATTTTTATTCTGCGAAAGAAACCGTAAAGTTTTGCCAATGCACTGAATGCTTATTCACAGTCACAATGGTTGAGTTCAAAAGAGGGATTTCAACGTGCTATTGAGTAATATATAAAATAACATTAAAGAGTATATACCGTGGTAGCTCAGTGGAGTTCGATACCCAATGGCACCAATTAAATTAATTGCAATTTTAAATTCTGATTTACCACGTACTCTTTAGTGAAGGAACACATTGTGAGAAACCTGCACGTCTGACTTATTGACGGCAGACTAATTGCTCCATAGTTCTCTTTAAATTAAAGGATACCTGTACTCAGCGTTGGGTCGTATAAGGACTGACATTTTTTACGCTTACATATAACAAGCAACATAGTTGCATTGACATATCCGAAACCGGTAAACTCAAATTTCAATGACTGGTAATGTGTGTGACATTGCCAGTATAAGGGTATCTGTTTTGCCTGTCCTGTTTGGATATATGCTACAAGTTAATGATGAGTAAATATTATAAGAAAAGCTTGCTTAGATGTAGGTGTCCCCACAGTCATAGCATGAAGTTACAAAAAAATTGGACTAATCCTTAGAAGGTTCCATGTCTATTCTTTTGGAGGGCTACTTTATAATACTACTTCTGGTACCACTTATTACCTATATACGTGGTAGAGTCACACTACAGCTATATTATGCTACAACCATACACGAATGGATTGGCTCGACCGAGGAAGGACCACGCTCTCATAGAATACCAGCCTAATAGCAGCTTAACACTGCTGTGTTTCGTATGGTGAGTGTAGAGATCCGGAGATCCTTTTTTACTGGAAACAAGGCATTTCATCTTAGTCATCAGGGGTGACAACGCATCTGCGTTTAGATTCTTAATCGAGGATAAATCTAGATGTCTATGGGCCACAGCATCCACTTATCACCAGGGAACTGTGTGCTCGTTTGTCACCTCCATAAAAAAAACTTCCACCAAATTCCGCTCTGGAGTACATAGAGCCAGTGTAATCACAGGCTACGAGGCATCCTATATTCGTCTTTGGAAGTGACAACGAATCTGTAGCCTTCATTATTTGGCGTTGGTAATAGGTATCCATGGGCTGCAGTAACCACTTACTATCTTTATCATTAGCGGATTGTAAGTTCGTTGAAGCCACTTACTATCAAGTGGATTGTAAATAAGTTTGCTACTTCAATTTTATAAAATAAAACTAAATAGAATTGATGGCGATGAACATTTCTAACTATTTTTGGTTGGAGCATGTTCTAGAATGTTAACGTTATTTTTTAGAAAACTCTTGGATGACACGGTCACCAATCCTTGGCGAAGTCTACCCGGGTTATCAGCAGGAGCAGGTGCGTTACACAAAATACTGGCCATTGTTTGACAAATTAATTTTAATAAGTACCATTTGTAATTTTGTAATTTTTTCATTGCAGCACATCAATAGCCCACTGGTGCACATAGGCGTCCTCCATAAATAGCTTCATAGGGGGGTTTATTGCCATAGTTGTAACGATTGGAAGGAGCGTCATCATTCGCAGTGTTTTATAATTAATGATTGTATATCAGGAAGATGCTGCTTCCCATCTCCTGTTCCAATCTGTTGTCGCTTACGATATCTATACGATACGATAGTGGATTCTCTAATGCCAACATTACAAGGCCTCTTTATAGAATTATAATTGATTAATAGTCTAAATATATTAAAGAGGATGTTTGTATATATGAAATCTTGAAAATTGGTATATGTATATGTGTACTAGCTTGCCAGGCAGACGTTGTTCTGCCCTTTTCGACGACTATTTGTCACGTCCTATTAAAAATCCTTAAATTCGCAAAAAAAAAATTGTAGATCACTCATGGGCAAAAAAAAACTATACTATCTCTCGAGTTGGACCAAACTGCATACGGTACGCAAATTTGACTAAAATCGGTTAAGTAGTTTAGAAGTCCATCGCGGACGAACAACGTGACACGTAATTTGTATATATTAAGATGTATTTTCAATGGAGAAGGTATATTTACAAACTAAAAAAATAAAAAAAAAATTATAAACAAAATTTAAATTTTTTGATTCTATTTCTTTTTTTCAATCAAGTGTTGTCAATTAAAAATTAAATTCGCGTGCGCTAAAATAAAAAAAAAACATTGCTAAACACAAATTATGATATTAACTGGCAGGGCAACATCTGCGGGGCTCAGTTAATAATACATATATTATAGTATTATTACTAGTATTAATATATTGTAATATTAGTATATTATTCTAATCTAAATTTGACTCTTCTCTTCTCTTATCTACTCATAATTTTCTCAACTCTTTACTATCGAATTTGGGAAAAAACACAGTCATTATGGAATCCTAAAGACAACGGTGTGTCTTTATTATGCCATGTTTAAAGTATCAAGGTCAAATACGAGAAGCAGTTTTCCGGTACTCCTACTCCCTAGGCGTAGTCCCAAAATCATGGAAGACGGCTTTCGTCCACCCGATCCCTAAAAAAGGCGACCGCTCAGACCCGTCCAACTACCGGCCTATCGCCATCACCTCCTTGTTCTCCAAAACAATGGAGTCCATTGTAAACTGCCAGCTCATGAGGTACCTTGAGGATCACCAGCTGATTAGTGACCGCCAATACGGTTTTCGCCGTGCTAGGTCAGCTGGTGATCTTCTGGTCTACCTAACTCACAGATGGGCGGAGGCAGTAGAGTCCAAGGGGGAGGCATTGGCCGTTAGTTTGGACATTGCGAAGGCCTTCGATCGGGTTTGGCACAAAGCGCTTCTTTCGAAGCTCCCTTCCTATGGGCTTCCCGAGAAATTGTGCGATTGGATCACCAGTTTTCTTGCAGATCGGAGCATCAAGCTCGTTGTAGACGGTGCAAGCTCCGATTGCAAGCCTATTAATGCTGGTGTTCCACAGGGCTGCGTGCTATCGCCAACGCTGTTTCTTCTGCATATCAATGATATGTTGCAGACCCGTAACATTCATTGCTATGCAGATGACAGCACTGGTGATGCTCTTTACACCGGCCGAGCCAATATTTCTCGGGAAAACGTCTCCGAGTGCCGGGACAAACTTGTGTCTGAAGTCGAGTCTCTGCTGGACAGAGTCTCGGATTGGGGGCGACTAAATCTAGTCCAGTTTAACCCCCAGAAGACACAAGTTTGCGCGTTAACCGCTAAAAAGAACCCCTTTGTCGTATCCCCTCAGTTTCAAGGCACTCCCCTTGTTGCCTCAGCCAGTATCGGAATCCTCGGCGTCGACATATCGAGTGACGTGCAGTTTCGTGGTCACTTGGAAGGGAAGGCCAAATTGGCCTCTAAAAAGCTTGGCGTGCTCAGCAGAGCGGGACAGTATTTCATGCCGGCACACCGCCTGCAACTTTACAAGGCGCAGGTTCGGCCGCACATGGAATACTGTTCCCATCTCTGGGCTGGGGCTCCCCAGTACCAGCTCCTTCCACTTGACCACATCCAGCGCAGAGCGGCTCGAATCGTCGACGACCGAGTGCTTTCCGATCGGCTCGATTCTCTGGCACTGCGAAGAGATGTTGCATCCCTTTGCATTTTCTTTCGCATATACCATGGAGAGTGCTCTGAGGAATTGTTCGGATTAATCCCAGCCGCCAAATTTCGTGAACGCACTACGCGGCAAACGTCCCGATACCATCCACACCATCTGGATGCTTGGCGGTCCACCACTGTACGTTTCAAAAGGAGTTTTCTTCCGCGTACAACCTCTCTGTGGAATAATTTACCACCAGCGATTTTTCCGGACCGATACGACCTGGGGACCTTCAAGAAAAGAGCTTACTCCTTTCTAAAGGGCCGGCAACGCATCTGCAATTCCCCTGGTGTTGCAGTTGATCATGGGCGGCGGTAGTCACTTAACATCAGGTGAGCCACATGCTCGTTTGCCCCCTCTTCTATAAAAAAAAAAAAAAAAAAAAAAAAGCGTCAAAGTATAAGACAATTGGTACCTCTATCACAAACTCGTCTGCCATGCGTGACTAATATGGCAAACCCTCCTATGTGAGAGACATATATCTAGTAGTAAACTTCAATGACCTGACGATTTAGAAGAAGATTAATAATTACTCCTACACCCGTTACAAATGTATTTTATTGTTACAGACTTTGGCGATTCAAATTTACGAGAATCGGTAAGGTTTACATTATTATCTACTAGATTTGCCCGGTGTGCATTATAATACCTTTTATGTTAAATGAAATAGCAGCTGAATACTGCTGTGTTTCTGCTTTGCATTGCTGTGAGTGTAGAGATCCGAAGACCCTTTTTATTGGTAACGAAGCAATTCATCTTGGTCCTCATGGATAACAACGCATTTTTTGATTCTAAACCGGGGATACGAGTAGATGTAGCTGTCTATGGACTGCAGCATTCAATTACCATCAGGTGGACTGTGTGCTCGTTTGTTACCCCTATTCTATAGAAAAAAGTTAAAAATATTTGCGAGAACGCGAACAGCAACTCACCAGAGTTTTATCGTAAACGGATTAATAGTATAGAAACGTACTGAAAACGAACAAACAAACGTCTTAGGAACGAGCTTACTCATTGAAATAATACTAGTTTTTACGGAATTTATCGCGTATATTTAACTTTTTAAATACCCGACGTTTCGAGAGCTTTACAGCACCCATGGTCACGGGAAGGACTGAGATGTTCAACGTCCAGATGTCATAGTTAACCGCGGTTACCATAGATTAAAATTTAACTTTTGTTTCGATCTAAACAGTATGAACTTATTGTATCATGAAGTCTTGCAGTTGTATGCTTGGCTTGGGATTTAATTTTATTTATTATAGGATCCCAAGCAGATGGTAGCACCCAGCCATCTTCTCTATTGAAATTAGGATGTTTTTTGATTTCAATAGCCTCGCGAATTATCCTTGGAAGGAATCGGTGTTCTTTAGCGAGGATTTGTGGTCTATCAAATCTGATGTAGTGACGGGGGCGATCCTGTACGTGTTCACAGACTGCAGACTTCCCGGAGCGTCGAGCGTCTGCAGTCTGTGAACACGTACAGGATATTCTCGATGTTTTGAGTAATTTGCAGAACTGCAAAGTAGCTGTGGGATGTCAGCTAAGCTAACATAAAAAACTAAGTTAGCTAAGAGTTATAACTATGGGATGACCACGGATACTGGATAGTACTTCATAAACTAGTTTGGTTCCTCTTAAATCAGTTCGTATTTAGGATAGAATCACACAAGAAAATCTATAGACATTTCACCTGTCTTATCTCATTATATTGCTAACTTGAGGCATGGCACCCAGAAGAATCGAAGGGATGCTGGATATACTGTTTGTCACCCAGGCGGCGCGAGGCAAGACATAAACCCTTTGATTCAGTGTTCTGGGAATAATTTTTATCAATCAGCCCCCCACATGGATTTACTAGGTATTCTCGATCGCAAATCTAAAATAAAAATAATTTTCTATACAAGACATACTAATTTATTGTGTGGTGTTGTTATAGTATGTATGTTGTATCGTATATATACATAACAAATACAAACTCTTTTTAATATAGATTATAAATAATACATTCACACTCGTTGTGACAGCGAGGAGAGAATACTAGTTGTTTTAATTATTTTACCACTAACGTTTTCTCAAATCGAACGTAACGTAACGTAACATATTCTATATATATATATATATATATATATATATATATATATATATATATATATATATATATATATATATATATATATATATAAAAATTGTAAGCCTGTTTGTAATGTAAAAATAACATCTTTTCCTAAATGCATATGCAAGTATATACGGTACAAATAACTTAAAAAATAATTTTAATTTTTTTTTCTGTCTGTCTGTTTGTTCTTAATCTCCGAAATCGACGGACCGATTTTGACGGGTGTTTCACTGGCAGGTAGCTAATATTATAAGAAATAACTTAGGCTACTTGTATTATAGAAAAAACACTTAGGGTTCCGCGGAAAAAATCTAAAAACCATGAAATCCATGGGAACAGCTAGTTTAACATAATGATCATGAATCGTCTCAATTTCGATTAATTATTGTGCACTTTAAAATTGTATTGTAATATTTGTAAAGTGTACAAAAGTTGAGGTTCGAGATGCTGTAGTAGTCTCGTCAGACTGCCTTTACGACGGAGGAGCCGGATTACGCGGGACACTCGGCTAACCGCGAAAGACGCGTACAGTACAGCTCGAAAGTGTTAATAAACATCAATTATCAGTTATAGGTATTCACTATAGATTTACAGACATCTAAAAGAATAAATTTTTAGAAATACAAATTTTTTTTATATCATGTCTATAAATGTCCCCTTCATAAATCCATGTTAACCGGTTAAAAGTATAGGTAAGGG